AGGTAACTATGGCCAAGATCAGTCCTCCATGAGCGGTGGCGGCGGCTATGGCAACCAGGACCAGGGTGGCTATGGAGGCCAGGACCGTGGCGGCCGGGGCCGTGGTGGCGGCGGCGGCGGTGGCTACAACCGCAGCAGTGGTGGCTATGAACCCAGAGGTCGTGGTGGCGGCCGTGGCAGCAGAGGTGGCATGGGGTAGGTGTCTCAGGAACCAGGGAGTGCCTTCAACGGGGCGTGTGGTGGGTTGCATGCATCTCCCCAAAGCGCAGTCCCTAGTGCATGGCTGGTTTTCTCGTCCTCTGGGGATCTGTGAGGGCTTGGATTTGGCCCATGGCCTGGGACACCTACCCCCCACCCCGTTTTATTGCTTTTTATTTTTGTGAGAATGTGGGAGCCTGGACTTCATGCCTGTGGATATTTGAGTTTTAATCTCTTATTTCAGAAAAGAGCCAACAAAAATTATAGGTGTGTATGGATTTGAACCATTTACATCATATCCTAGGCAAGAAACACGGGACCAAAGGCTTTTCCCCTCCTGTAAGGGAACCGAGGATCCCTGTTGTGGGGAAGTAGGGGGTTTTCCTACTGTTCTTCCCACGTGTTTGCTAAGGGAGTTTGGTCATGGTTAACCTGCCTTCAGCCTCTAGCAATGAACTAGTCCTCTGTACTCTATAGTCATTTTCATCCATGAGCTTGATTTGCACTAATCAGAGTGAAGTAATGATTTTGTGTGTGACTTGGGTCATGGGATTTATGTGACTGAAGTGTGCAAGCCTTTTGGACACAACATGTTTGACGGTGGCCTCCCATCTATCAGCTCCACTGCCCCCGCCCCGGCTATTTATCTGAGCACCAGCTCATCCCACTGGAACCTTCTGCCCCTCCCACCAGTTGAGTGGGTGTTGAAGCAATGGTCAGATCTGTAGATCTGAAGGACTGTCTTCCCCTGAACATGGGGGAAAGTCAAGGTGTCATTCATTCCTTTCGGGGGAAGGAGGAATAGCGTTGGGTGTTTTTTTTCCAAGTTTTTTTTTTCTTTTGTTTGAAATGGAGTGTTTGCATCTGGTAAGTATTCTGAGGTGGGCGGGGGCAAGTTCCTAACATTGTACCCCCAAATGAGGAAAATCTGTTGTGCGGGTGTTTAATGCAAAACTTGAAAAAGAAAAAGCAACTGTTATGTGACTGTTAACTTGCTCTGCATTTTATGTGCCACAGGTGTGAAAGGTGACATTGCAAAATACGGCTCTTCCACAGTGTAGCGGGAGGGGCTAGGCAGCTCAGTAGTTAGGATAGGGCTTAGTGAGGTTGGTCTTGCTTCAGGGGGCGTTGCCTTTGGTTTTGACTTTTTATGGAACGGGGTTGGGTCTGCTTGCTGCTTTCAAAGCAAAACAAATAAACCAACACAACACAAGAACGTGTTCAGGGCTGCCCCAGCCTGGTGTCGAATTGTCTCCTGGGTTAAAAATGGGAGGTATAGGGTTTTTAAAAACCAACTACTGTGTTTGTTCAACCACTCACGACGAGGAAAAAACAAAACATCTGCTACGTCAGAAGAACGGCCAAGGAAAATAGGTCATTTTTTTCCCCCAGAGGAAATAGATTTACAACCTTTTAAAACCAAAACAACAAAAGAATCTTACAGTTGTGTCTTGAGAAATTGCACACGTGTGTGTGACACGCTCAAAGGTCAGACCAGGGGTGGTCAGGAAGGAATGTATGTTAGTAGCCACATGTTTATCTTTTTTTTTCCAAAAACACCTACCCATGTTTGGGGGATAGTAAAATCAAAAAACAAAACAAAACACCCTCTTGTAGCCGTTGGAAGCTTCATGTTCTTTCTTCTAACTTGTCTTCTCCAGCGGAAGTGACCGTGGTGGCTTCAATAAATTTGGTGGTAAGTGACCAGAGTTTCCAAAATTCCCACCTCCTGGCAATGCTTTGTCTTATTGTTCATTTGCAGATGTCTTTAGTGTGTTAAGTGTCTAAAGATTTGGAAGTGGTCACAATCACCTTCAGAAAAAGGGGTGGTGGGGAAAGGTACTTTCCTGCACCCTGAGACTAGATGCTGCCCGGCCTCGGGCTCCACGGTGGTGTGACCAGGTTAGGAGGTGTTCAGTAGCCTCTGACAAGGGTGTTGCCACACCTGGCACTTTTTGTTGACCACTGTGAGAAACGAGTGAGGGTTCTGAAATGTGTCCACTTGACTTGAGAATCCTTTTGACCTGTGTGTCCGAGG